GCGCCACCCCGGTGTGGATGGGCTCTGGGGAGAGGGCTTGGGGCATGGACTGTGCCTCGAGTGGGCCCTGCGGGCCGCAGCCTCCACTGTGGGGCTTTGCTGGGGTGGCGGGGAGAGCTCAGACTCCGTGTCTTGCCCGCTGCGTCCAGCTGCGCTTGTGGCCCTCCATGCGGCTCTGGCGCTTCACTCCCTGCAAGTGTCAGGGGATCAGCAGGCTCTGAGCGGGGCACGGAGCCCTGGTTTCAGGATTCGTTTCCCACTGGGACATGAGGAGCGTGAAGGCGGCCCGCTCCCGTGAGCGCTCCCGGATGGCCTGGCGTGTGCCCCGAAGGAGACAGGCTGAAAGTGGCAGGGCCCTGGTGCCAGGGAGGCCTGCAGGGCTTCTCGGAGCTGCTGTCCATTCCTCACGGATGAGGCAGCGCGCGGGGCGGCTACCACTAACCTTATGTAAAACCCTAAATCACTCTTGCCATGCTGCTGCTGCCTCTATTGAAAACATTACGAGCGGCGCATCTGGAAAACAGTAAATCTGTCCAGAAACCATCTTTCCAGTGAAATAACTCCTTTTGAATGATAGCGCAGTATCTAATCTCCGCAGATTTTTGTTTCCTCACAGCAATTTTTTTTTTTTTTTTTTGCGGGCTTCATTATGGAAAGCTAACTGTTCTGGAGGGAGGAGGGTCAACGCGCCGTTTCATTAATATACATTTGTTCCAGACGTGGAGTTTTGCACAAAAGGCCTCTCTGAGGGGAGAAAAAAGTGCTCGGGAACAAGGCTTTCCTGCCGTTTTAGTTCTTAAATCTCCCCGAACGTGTGTGAAGTATTGTGCTAAAGGCACAATCTGGGATTCTTCCCCATTAAATGCCAAAGTGAGCATTTGCATATTTTGTAGCCTAACAAAGGAAATGAGTTTGCTCGGGAAGCATGTATGCTTTGGGAGACGTTATGCATTAAACTCCCAGTGGTCAATCACCCATTACTGGCTTGTGTGTGTGTGTGTAGAAGGAGTATCATGCCTCCCGCTTCAAGGCTTCTATTTTTGTGCGAGAGGAAGAGCTGGGGGATATCCTGTGCATTAAAGGCTCCCCCTACTTATTAGCCCAGCATTTAGCAGCAGGATGCAGGCTGAAGCTCAGTCAAAAGAAACGACCCAACCTCCGAAGAGCAATTAAAATCTTGCACCGGAATAAATCATGCGCCGCGATAATCCTGTTAATAAAACGCAGCTTGTCCTGACACTCCACTCGTGCAGCAAACTGGAATTTAATGTGCGCGGAGATGGCGCCGAGAGAGGTGCGGCGCGCGCGGAGGCTGCCCCAGTGCCGTTGGCCGCGTGCGCGTGGGTGCCTTTCACCTGCCTCTGCCGCTGCACACAGCGCCGATCCTCTCGGACTGCTAATACTTCTCCAGCGAGCCCGCTAATGATTTCTTTCCCTGGAGTGAGCAGGCGTCATTGAATTACTGAAAGCACTCGCAGCAGCGGCAGGAGCAGCAGCGGCAGCGGCGGCTCCGATGCAGAAGCCACCAGGGCTCGGTGCTTAATCAAATCAAGGGGTGGGGAGCTCGCCAACCCACTTACTATTTTTAACCCCTTTCTCCAAGTTAGTCGTGTGCAGACGCGGAAGGGGAGGTTTTTATTTGGACGCCTTCTGCAGAAGCGCCTCTCCCGTTCCGAGTGTGCACGTAAACGCTTTATGAGCAGCCGGCGTAGCCAAGGCGCGGGGTGTGTGACTGCCCTTCCTGCTCCTGTGTGTGGTGGATGCGGGGCTTTTGTGAGCGCCCTTTGCAGCATTCGCCCCATGCATGGGGGCTTCCCTTACTGTTCCAGCCGGCCTAGGACGAGTGCTTGGCTCCTGGTTTGGCTCCTTGGCCGTCCGAATCGTTTCTTGCTCAAATTAAATGCATTGGAGGAACTTTTATTTGTCGATAACCTGGAATGATTCTTAATTTTCTGGATGTGCGCTGGGGAAAAGATCCATCTCCTCTGACCTATAAATGCCCTCAATTTGCTCCTTTATTGCCGGGTATCTCCCTTAGCGGTTAACGTAGGCAGCTCGCTCCCCGCACCAATCCTGCATTCATTATTAATTACCCGGAGGGAGGCTGGCTGCTTCGCTGCGATGTTTGCACTTCCTCCTCGACAAATCTGCTCAACTTTTTTTGTTTTGTTTTGTTTTTTTTCCTCTCCTTTTCTTTTTTTCTTTTTTATTAGAATATAAAACCGTGAAGAGAAGCGGTGATTTTTAAGAAGACGTCATGCTTTCTGCAACTCCCCTGTATGGCAATGTGCATAGCTGGATGAGCAATGAGAGGGTCCGCATGTGTGGAATTAATGAAGACAGGTAAATATTTAAGCTGCTGGCAAGCTAAACCAAGCCGTAGGTCTGCAGCGTGAGGCCTCAGGCTTCACTCACCTCCCTGGTGCCGGAGCCGACGGCTGCTGATGCACATTGGGAGCGGGCCCGGGCAGACAGGGCTGATGGTGCTGGAGGGCAGCAAGACGTGCCCAAAGGTGGTAGAGCAGCCAGCGATGTGCTGTTTTAACAAGCAAACTGCTGGGTCAGTGGAGCAGGGGCGCACTTTAGGGAGACTACCCCCAGTGCAAGCCCCTAAGTGCACTTTTTGCAGTTCATTTGGTGTTTCGTGTTTAGGGAGGAGAATTCAACCACGAGCATATTCTTCTAGCAGCTACCAACTAGGGGGGCTCACGCATGTGACTTGGCACTCTCCTCCATCAAACAAACAGCTTGTCCTGTGAAACAGAGACAGTGGCCTTTTCATCTCCCCGAGAAGTGAATTTCTCTTTGTCTCTGCCTTTTTTTTTTTTCCTTCTCCTTCTGAATACCATTCATTTGATGATTAAAATTTTACTCCTTAATAATTTTGAATGGGGCGGTGCAGGCACTTGGCTGTGTCCCCTTCCCTTAAAATCCAGTTTTTCAAAAAGCAAAACAGCACTCAGCAGAACTCACAGGTACGCTTTCAATTCTCCATGCCAATTTTGTGTGGTTTTACAGTGTTTTTTCTGTCTCCTCTTTGAGCCTGTATTCTCACCATTGTGTGAAAAGCCTCACAGAAGCCAGGGAAAGTTTTTGGTCTTTGGAGGGAAAACTGTTTGCAAACACAAACGGAAGGAAAACAGCCAAACATCTCCCTCTGCCTTTACCACCCTCCAGCACCAGCTTCCCTCCCAGTTGTTTACATGCAGCTTGCAGGAAAGGTGGATCTTATAGAAAGGAATAAACAAATTCCCTAAAATTGCGTTTTTGGTGTCAGGTGATGATATGTCTTTAAGTACTTTGATTGAAAGGCATTCTTTTGGGTAATGATGAAACTTTCCTTCTGCTACATGTCAGCGATTTTTATCCCTGGGATTTGAAATTTGGCACTAAGGTCTATTCTTTATCGGCGCTTTCTGTGATAACAAGTCCCAGTGCTGCAACACTGGTGTGGCACAGATGTGCAACTGCCTCTTTAGCATGGAGCAGCTGATATTCGTATGATATTTGTGTGTGTGTGAATTTTCTCCACTGCAGTGTGTATGGATGGCGCATGAATGGAGTATGTTCGAAATGGTATATTATATCCTTGGGAAAAAAAAGGGAGGCACAAAATAGGAAGCCTTAACAAAAATCCCGTGTGTCGGGTGAGGTTGCTTGGAGATGTATGTACTCAGTGTGCTCTCAGTGTCAAAACCTGTTTTGCTTTTGTACCCAATTCCGAATGGGTCTTACTTTCTAAAATAGTCTTTGTGCCTTAATACACGGAAGGATAAGTATGGTATCGTATGGGACATCCCTGGGGAAATCAAAATATGGTGGTGATATAATCTTGTATGATAAGAAATGCACAGGATGTTTTCAAATAGCTGTGTCTTTTTTTTTTTTTTTAATAGGAAAATTCCAGTTAATGATGGCGATGCACCGAAAAGCAGACTGGAGTTGAGGGAAGAAAATCACCTGAATCACAGCGTGGTAAGAATTTAGCAGCTGAAACTGAATCGGCTCTAAGACCTTCCCCCAATTTGCTATTAGATGATCCTTTTGGAGAAATGATTAAAATACATTTCTGTTGCAATTCTAGCTATGCCTGGGCACATACAAATTGTTTTTGTGAAAGAGTGAAATTGGACTTTGCTTGTTTGTCTTGCTAATCTCTTGACTTTGTCGTGCATGTTGTCCTGTGACATTGCACTCTTACTTTTTGCTCCATTTTGGGTAGTGCCATGTAGCGTGCTCGCGCATCTAACGAGAGTAGCTCATGTTGCCAGCGCTTCAGCAAAGGCGGCAATTTTCTCCCTCTTTGAGAGCACACGGGAAGGGCAAGTGGAACAGATATTTGGCACTGTGCTATCGAGGGATAGCAGATTTTTTAATATTTTTCCTACTCACCTTGCATGTTGTGTAGCCATGGCCAGCCTGAGATAGAGCTGCGGAGGAGGGAGCTCCTGGAGGAGCGGGAGCAGCATCTGTGGGCCAGCTCCTCAAACCTTTGTTTCTAGCCAATGAATTTGGGATGCAGAAAGGCTTTTCTTGACACACGCAGTGATGCACATTGCCCCGGAGCTTCCGCTTCCTACGTGCTCCCGTGTGCTCGGCCTCGGTGCTCTTTCTGCAGCCGTCAGTGGGCTTGTGTCGGCGTCGTTTCTCTTGTGAACCGGAGTGCGTCTGTAGCGCGAGCGCGTAGTAAGTCGTCTGGCAGTGAAACCCGAGAGTAACACACTTCTTGTTCTGTGAAGGTGGATGCAACCACGGCACATCGCATCGACAGCCTCACGGCTCTGAGCATGGACAGGTCTGGACTTATGCGAGAAGGACTCAGGGGGCCCAGTAGTATTGTCTATTCCAGCTTGTGCGGACTTGGCTCCGAGAAGTCACGGGATGCGGCGAGCTCCATAGCGGGTCTTGGATTTACTCCGGAAAGAACCCCGGAGATCCAGTTCAAATCCAACCCCTCCGAAGCAGTAGAAAATGCCGCCGTCTCTGCGAAAGCCCCAAATGGCTTCAGTGCTATGTACAAAGCGCCACCTGGAATACAAAAAAGTTCTGTCCCCACGGGAGAGACGCTCGGCTTGGACAGGGCCGCCAGCGACAAGCAAAGTCCTCTCGGCGTCAACGGTGCTAGTTACCTAAGGCTGCCCTGGGTAAACCCTTACATGGAGGGCGCTACGCCCACGATATACCCTTTCCTTGACTCACCAAATAAGTATTCGTTGAACATGTACAAGGCATTGCTACCTCAGCAGTCCACCTACAGCTTACCGCAGCATCTGGCGTACTCGCCCGTGTGTACGAACGGTGAACGTTTTTTATACCTGCCCCCCTCCCACTACGTCGCGCCCCACATCCCCTCGTCCCTCGCGTCGCCCATGAGGATCTCAGCGGCCTCGGCGTCGCCCACCATCCCGCCCCTGGTGCACTGCCCGGACAAGGGCTTGTCGTGGAAGATGGGCGTAAGCGCCGGCGGCGCCACCGTGGAGG